TGATTGGCTAATGCTGACCGGATAACTAATCACGTTGGGAGAATTTGAGTTGATGTGATTTGTTGAGCAAGGAGGAGCACATTAGCAGAGGGATTGCTCATTTAATCAACAGTTGCACGTAGAGGGATCTAACTGGAGATCCTTGCTGAATGGATTGGTAGTTTGATATGATTTCAGAGGAGGAAAGAGATCGACTGAAGAGACCTTTTGTTGAAGAGGGGTTTTTTTGGCTTTGAAGAGCTGTAATGGGGACACTTATCCGGGAAAAAAAATAGAAGAGCTGTAATGGGGACAAGGCTCCGGGCCGGATGGCTTCAGTATGGGGGTTTTTCAACAGAATTTGGAGGTGGTCCGAAAAAAGGTGATGGACGCTGCCAACTACTTCTATATGCATGGTCGGTTTGAGAAGTGTCTGAACGCTTCCTTTATTGTGCTTATTTCAATGAAGGGTGGGCAATTGATGTTAAGGATTTTAGACCTATTATTTTTGGTGTGTGGAATGTAGAAGCTAATAACTAAAATCCTAGCCTAAGATTGAAGGAAGTTGTTGATGGCGTGATCTCAGAGTCCCGGAAGGCTTTTAATGGTGGGCGTCAGATTTTGGGCTCAATTTTGATTCTATCGAGTCTATGGACTCCAAGATTAGTAGTGGGGTGCTGGAGGTGTTTGTAAGCTTGATGTTGTGAAGGCTTGTGATCATGTGAGTTGGAGTTTTTATTTATTATTTATTTTATGCATGTTTTGGATAGGATAGGCTTTAGTGAGAGTTGGGGAGATGGAATCGATTCTACATTTCCACAGTGAGATTTTCATTTTTGGTGAAAGGGCCGCCATCCGAATTCTTCGACAACTTTCGGGGCTTGAGGCAGGAGGATCCTTTGTCCTCTTTCTGTTCATTACTGTGATTGCGGTGTTCAACAAGTTGATGAGTGCGGCAGTGGTGTTGAGTTATATTAAAGGGTTCAGAGTGGGTAGGGAACCCTCCAATCAGTTGGAGATATCTCATCTTCTATTTGCTGATGATACCATCGTTTTCTGTGATGCGGAAGAGGCTTAGTTGAGGTTCATGTGGTGTGTTTTGTTGTGCTTTCAGGTTATATTTGGGCTGAAAATCAATATTGGGAAGTGTGAGATTGTGCTGTTGAGGCCGTGAGGGAGGTTGGGGAGATAGCCTCTTTGGCTAATATTCTGTGGTGCGATGTTGGGGCTTTTCTGCTGTTATACCTGGGTTCACACTGGGGGCACCTTTGAGTAGGGTATCTTCTTAAGTGGTTTGAGAGGAGTTTCGTAGGTTGGAAGAAGCAATATCTTTCAAAGGGGGACGGTTAACTCTTGAAGAGTTTTGTTCCGAGTCTTCCAACTTACTTCCTCTCCTTATTCTAGATACCCTCTTCTATCATAATGAGGATTGAGAAGGTTCAAAGGAACTTCTTGCGGGGTGGCATGGGTGATGAATTTAAGTTCCATCTTGTGAATTTGAAGCAGGTTTGCAATCCAATTCTGATTGGGGGCCTGGGTGTTAAGAGGTTGGATATGTTCAACAAAGCTTTGTTGGGCAAGTGGTTGTGGAGATTTGGGGTGAAGAGGCACAGATTATGGAGGATTGTCCTGTGCAAGTTTGGAGAAGCTAGGGGTGGATGGTGTTCTTTAGAGGTGAGGTCATCGACAAGGGTGGGTGTTTGGAAGTTCATCCGGAAAGGTTGGGTCAAATTTTCAAAACATATTCAGTTTAGGGTGAAGAGTGGGAGGCATATTTGTTTTCTAGTGGATGATTGGTGTGGGGATAGACTGCTAGTGTGTGCTTTCCCTAGACTTTTTTGGAATGTTGTGGACAAGAAGATCTCGGTTGCCGACTGTTGTTGGCTTGATAGTGGGACGATGACTTGGGATGTTCTGTTTGAAGGCATTTTCAAGATTAGGAGTTGGAGGATATCGTTGAGTTTCTACCATTGATTTATTGCCAGCATGTGGTTGGGGATGGGCTTAATGAGTAGTTTTGGGTGGCTTCCAGTAATGGGAAATTTGAGGTGAATTTCATCAATTGGAGACTGTTGGATGCTCAGGGGATCTCTTTTTCTTGGAAGGCAGTCTAGCAACCAAAGCCCCACTAAAGGTGCCTTTTTTTGGATGTTGGATGCTTGGGGGATCTGTTTTTCTTGGAAGGCAGTTTAGTGCACCAAAGCCCCTCTAAAGGTGACTTTTTGTGGATGGACGACGTCTTGGGGAGGACCTTGACAATAGATTGGCGTCAGATTATAGTTAATTGGTGCTGTATGTGCATGAGGGATGAAGATTCAGTCCATCCTCTTCTTTTGCGTTACCCTGTCGCTAGGGATGGATGGGCGGCTGGGCCATGTATTTTGCTATTTGCTGGTCATCGAGTCTTCCTGGATTCCACGAAGAGCTTGCTTGAGGCTTGAAGAGAATGTACAGAGGGAATCAAGCATGAGATGCTTGGAGGGCAGCTTCCCTTTGGGAGGTCCTTTGATGGAGAGGTGGTTCTTATTTGAGTGCTTAGATACTCCATTCTTAGTTCTTTATTCTTTTGGTTTCACGGGTGGAATTGTAATCTGTGGAGGAATTTGTCGATAGTTTCAGAGTATAGTGGGTCTTTTTGGTTTTTTGTGCAGTTGCATATGGATGTGCTCCCCTTTTGAGCACTCTTTAATGAAATTTTACTTAAAAAAAGAAAAAGTAAAACAGTTTATTTGGTCACTATCTTTAGATGAACAGTGAATTTTTCACATTGTAAATATTTTACCTACTTGGCACTTTTGTATATTTAACTTTTAGTTTTCATATAATTATCTAATATTCTATGACTAGATGAATTATAACATATAAAGTTATATAATCACTATCATCCTTGTCATGTAAAGATGATCATAAATAAGGATATAATGTAGATGATTTTTTGTGCGTTTATGCATGTACATAAATATGTGAACAAAATATTATGATGCCTCTTTCCTTTCCAACTCACTCACTCGTTTACTAAGCCTGTCTACATCTTTTTGTAGAAAGACTAATTCAATGTACAAGGTTAGTAAGTCCCATGTTGGCAAGTGCTTCAGAAGGGTTGGCCATATGTCCGAAATTAAGAAATTTATTTTTTAAATTATAGACATCCAAATTTATCCCACCTGCCTCGAAGGATCCTGGAGTGTTGGTGTCCAACATATGTCAAACATGAATCTGTATCTTAGCAACGGCAATGTTTGTTGCGTCTATTTTTGCTTCCTATTGACATCTTCATGAGTACCATTATGCATTTGATCTTGCTCCTGCAAGATGCAAAATTTTGGAACTGTTTGCTTGGGTATCTTTCTCATCTGCTGCCAAACATGCTTGACCTTGCGTGTTTTGGAGCTTGTGTGGCAATGGGCACGTTTTGGACAAAACATTTAGCTGTGAGAACAATTGAAATGTATCCATTCAAGCTCCAGTTGTTGTTTAAACCATTTTCCATTAGGATTTTTGAGTGTTATTGTGTTCACTGGCTCCTTTTCAATATCGTCTCTTGAACCCTGAAATGAGCTAATATATCTCTGTGCCATCATTTTGTAAGTGAAGAATTGCTTACTCGTATCATCTGTAATCTTACTTGAACCTAGTGGCAGATCGAGTGTGTAGATGCAAGTCTGGTAGTTCTAATCCTTAGAGGAATGCTCTTGATCTTTTCCATTCCAAGTGAACCTCTGGTTACCATTGCTTTAAACCAGAGGCTTATCATAAAATGACCATGGATTTACTTCCAAAATGTTTTGCTGCAAAATCTGAAGTAAGAGCTCCAGAATCTAATAAATAGACATTGATCTCCCCAAAACTCTTCGTTGTCTATTCACACAGCGTTTTTTCACTTTGAGAGGTTGCCAAACAACTAAACATATTTAACCGAGCATTTCTTTGTATCACATGTCATCTCTGATTTGCTCTTTGGTGCAAGTCACAAGTTTCCCTTCCCCTTCATACATGGTGAAATAATGTTCTGCTCCAAGCCTTTTGCTTTTAAACATTTTCTCTTACCTGGAGCCGGAGGGTTTTGACTTGTGTTCACTTGCTGTGATGGGTGTCTCTTTCAGGAGTTTTACCTGTATTCAGAGAGAAGAATTGGGACTTCGCATCCAACTGAGTTTAGTAGAAATTGTGTTTTGATTTGATACTGCATGATTACTTCTTGAGTGAGTAGTTGGTCAGGCGATTCTAAAAGAAGGCAGGCATGACTACATGAGTTTAGTAGAAATTGTGTTTTGATTTGATACTGCATGATTACTTCTTGAGTGAGTAGTTGGTCGGGCGATACTAAAAGAAGGCAGGCATGACCTTCAGTATAGGAGTTACCTACTTCACGGAATGCTGCATCACTTGATTTTTTTTTTTTTCTCCAACCATGGCGAGCCACAAACTACTCAATATCCCTTGACCCAAACTTTCAGTAGTACTAGGAAGATCACTGTAGCCACCTTGTCTTTTTTATTAAATTTTTTATGAGGGTGTTATCATTTTTTAGAAAATATCATGTACATCCCTCCTATATGATTAGCAAAATTTTCATTCTGATAAATTCTCCCCTTTTAATTGACGTGGCTGAACTAGTAAATTATTTATTATTTATTATTATTATTATTATTTATTATTTTATTTTATTTTATTTTTACATTTATATTATGTAATCCTTGCTTCGAGGCATGTTAAATTTCTCTATTATGTTAATTTGATTGTAGTGTAGGGATTGAAGGTTTCTTGAGATAGAATATCTTTAGTTTATCGGATAGTTGAAGCTTTATCTTTATAGCTGTTCATAGGAAGAGTGAAATGGAGAGTTGAGCTTCTGATGTTATGTTGAACTATCTGTGCTTATTGCTTTGTACCATTAGTTCAGATGCTGATATTTTATTTTACTACAGGGCTAACAAAATAAAAATTCATGTTATGTTGAACTATCTGTGCTTATTGCTTTGTACCATTAGTTCAGATGCTGATATTTTATTTTACTACAGGGCTAACAAAATAAAAATTCTGGAAAATCTGCGGGATGCATGGGCTAATGATCGGAAAGCTGAATGGTCAATATGGATGGTTTACTCAAAGGTTGAGATGCCACACCAATATAGTGGAGTCGATGACTCTTCCTACCACAGTGTTCGTGGGAAGTTATTGTTACGAAAGTTAACTGAAGATGTAATTGCACCAATACAAACTTTTTTATATGCTCCATTATTAGTGTGCTCAAAGTAACATTCTTTGCTTAGGTTTAGGTAAATTAATAGTTTGCTCACCTTCACGCCTTTCTTTTAGTGAGCACTGGAGGTTCTCCTCAGCACTCAGTCTCTAATCTGGAATCTGTTTTGCTGTGTGCAGCCTGCCCAGACTGCAGCTATGCGTGCTGAGCTTCATCGTCGAAGTATTGCACAAATGCGGGTGAGTTGGTGCTTCTGTATGGCGTACTACATGGTTTAATCTTCTATGCAGCAGCTTATGGTCATATATTATTTCAATGCAGATTAACAACCGGTCAATTCAAGACATGCATATATTTGGAGATCCTTCAACCATTCCCATTATAATTGTAGAACGTGTTGTGAATGCACCACTGCGTTCAAATAGTGTAAATTCATTCTTCAGTAGTGTGGACCAGATTGACACACCTATCTTACTTGCTGGAGTAGGCTTTAAGAGCATAAACAAGTTATCTAGCGCTAGCCCTCAACAAATTGGTCGCATTTTGAAGATTGTGGTCTTTGTCCATGGTTTCCAGGCATGCTTCTGTTCCCACATCATTTGCTTAAATTATCCTCCTGCATGTATTGTGCCGTTGTTGATTCTTCTCTTTTAAGGTTTTCACGTTCAAAATGATCTCTTTACAACATCAGACAGATCTTTCTATTTGAAAGTAGTGCCATATCTATCTGACCATTAGTTTGTATATGCTACTTTTTTGTCAAGGATTTCAAAGTTCGACTTTAGGTGAAACTTCACCACCCACTTCCTTTACCATGTGGACTTATGTAGAGTCAATTACAATAATGCTCCCTAACATATCTAAACGTCGTGGTTATCGTAAACCATTAGTACATTCATTGATTTGCTATCTTGATCACTGAATCTGGAGTCTGGACAAATGGTACCATTCAAGTTCATAGTGTTGGTTGGGGGATCAGGAGAAGTTATTGTAATCTTTTCCTTTTAAAACAACGTAGGTTAGAAAAATATTGAAATGAGGCCTGGGTACCTAATTAAACTGACTCTTTTGTTTCATCTTGATTATGGAACAGTTAATGCCTTGCTTTATGTGACTTGATACTTCTAATAGGTTTCATAATTTGAACAGGAAGCATTTGAGGACAATAAGTTGGTCCAACCAATTCATTATCCGTTTGTTTCAACATGCAATTTTTTCTAGATAATATTTGTCGCATATTTTGTGTTTAGTTGCACATAGAATTGGGTAACAGGTCAGAATGTTGTACACCTTTTCTTACAAAAATGACTTGTGCATCCAAAACCTCTCAAGTTATTTTGCTCTCCTTTACACGGACCTATCTGGAAACATTTTCCTCTGGTGAATCTCAGTAATTATCGAAACAAAAATTTTTCTCTCCTACATTCTCAATTCATCTCTCTTCTATTCGTCTTTCATCACACTTTGAAAAATCAAAACCTTGATTCTCTCTCTCTATATCTTCGATGTCCGTATATCTTCAGAACTCATTAAAGCGTAATTGAAACATTCTCTCTCTCTCTCTCTCTCTCTCTCTATATATATATATATATATATATATATATATATATATATATATATCATGGTTATTGGACTTTGGTTGGAAAATTTTGTGTCCAAAACTTGAGTCGGTAATTTTGGTTGTTAGTTGGAATTTTGAAAGTTAGCTTCAAGTTTACCTTTTGTATAAAGGGTAGAATTGGTATTGAAGCTACTATCAAGGGCGAAAAGCTAATCTATTATGCTAAGGGTAAAAGGCTAAATTGATACTTATGCATGGACTTACCAAATTATGTTCATGCATTCATCAATTAGGTTTCATAGATTTCATGTTTAATAATGGAAAAGTTGTTTTTGATATGCTTTATGTGCTTTTGGGAATTTCTAAGTACGCAGGGGATTTCAATCTATCGAAGGGATCAATTGAGGGATTTTGGACTAGTGTCGATCCGATTCATTTTAAAACTTCAAAATCATAATTTCTTTCTGCTCTTTATAGACCTGTGGTTCAGAAAACCTAATATATCAAGAATACAACACAGAGAGGCTTATGCTGAGCGTGCATTCATCATACTGCTTTTTGTTTGTGATTTATCTTAGCAGTCCTCTGCTAGGATTTTACTTTTCATTAATCCTTCTTTATAGTTTGGCGAGTGAGATTACGTGTTGAATCGATCACTACTACTTTTCTTATTCAAAGTTCAACACGAGTCAATTAATCCACAAAGGTTGGATTTGATAACTAGACTAGAAGATTGAAGTGCTAAGGAGAAGTAGATTTCTGGAGGAATACGGAGAGGATGAATACCTTTGAGACTCAAGTTGAGAGTTTGGCGCCAGTCTATGTCAAGAGATAATTAATTGAAATGTTAGCCGATGGTGAGAAAACATGAGAAATATCATAAAGAAGAGATGGGTTACATGTCATGTGATCGGATGCCCTTGAATCAATGATCTAAGGTGCAGAAGATGAAGCATAAAGACACGTATTACCTAAACTAACGATGGTAGCGGTGGAGGAGGGCTGATTTGCACGCTCACGCTTTACCAGAGAATCATACTTGGCTTTGGAGAGAACGACTTGTTCATTTGCAGGAGTGGGAGTAGTCTCCTCCGAAACCGAAGCTTGATTAGCCCAAGCTGGCTTTCGATGAAGAGCCCAACAGAAGTCAACAGAGTGATTGTTTCGGCCACAATAAGTACACTTCTTGCTGCCGCGACCCTCTCTGACGCCACGAGTACCACGACCGGGGTTGAAGGACCTCTGCCCCCTCGTCCTCCACGGAAAGTATTATGTTGCTCACTAGGAACAAGAGCAGAGTGGTTGTCCTTCTCAATCACAGGGGCATGAATGGATGCTCTTCGAACTTGAGCAAAAGTCTCACTAGCTGTGGGTTCCTTGCCAGACAAAATCTGCGAACTGATCGGACCGAGTTTGGGTTCAAGACCAGATAAAAATTTTGCCACCCGAAACTTCTTCCTATGCTTTTTTGTTGTTGTTCTATGTCTGTAGTCAATGGTTGGTAGACATTCAATTCTTCCCACATACCCTTCAGTTCTGAGTAATAATCTTCAACAGAATGATCTCCCTGTTGGAGATTAAAAAGATCCTGGTGCAATTGATAAATACGAGAAATATTTTTCTCTGAAGAATACATGTCCCCGAGATTTTCCCAGATATCTTTGGCAGATTCTAGGAATGACACATTGTTGAAGATCTCAGGCTCCAAGCTGTTCAATAACCAAGTCATAATCTGAGCATCTTCTTTCTCCCAAGCCTCAATAATCTTTTCATCATTGGTGGGTTTGGTTGATTTAAGATTGGAAAGTTTTCCTCGATCCTGTAAGAACACCTCTACGGCTCGAGACCATTGAAGGTAGTTTGAGCCTTTTAGTTTGGTGCTGGTGATTGACCCAAGTAGATAAGATTCCTTAGTATCCATAACAAAAGCTGCCGAACAAATGTGATATAGTAGTGAGAGGGAGCCGAGATAAGAGAACCATGATCAAGCCGAGATGAACCCAAGAGAATTTACCGAGGAGAGAGCCGAGGAGGGATCCGAGAGAGATTGTCGTGATGAGAATTGAGATCACCGAGGAGAGAACGCCTAGAAGAGATTGCTGAGAGAAAGTTGAGATGGAATCAAGATCGGAGTATGAGTAAGACTGAAAAAAAATTAAAAAATTTAAGGAGGGATCGATTTCCGCTCTGATACCATGTTGAAAGAGAGAGAGAGAGAGAATATATATGAAAAGTATATATTATTGAGTGAGTAATACAATAATATAATGATGTTTATATAGGAGAAGTTACGGGAGTAGGAGAGTGGAGAACAAGTAAACCCTATACAGGGTACTTCTATATATGGTAATGAGGGGTAGGTGAGTGGGCTGTAGAATACTGAAAGCCCTAATATACAATGTAATCTAACTGTACACGTGTGACAACTCATACAATACTGTACAACAATTTCAATGTAAATCCAATATGGATATTGCATTTGGCCTTTTTTTTTTTTTTTTTTTTTTTTTGCAATTGTATTTTCCCAATCATTCTTATTTTCATGAATTTAGTCATCCATTATTTCAAAATTTTCATTATATTTACTTTTTATACTTTAATGAATGACCCATATAAGTTAAACGGGTTAAACAGGTCATTAAACGAGTTGTGTCATTACTATGATATGTTTATTAAACAGGTTACATGGGTCGTGTTTTGTTACCCATTTAATGAACGGGTCATGTTCGTGTCAAGGTCCCTGACACAATTATTAAATAGGTCTTGTTTTGGTTGACTTGTTTAGTAGAATATTCATAGGTCCACACGACACGATTATAACCTGCCAACACGAATTGCCTCCCGTAGTTATCAGTGGTGCATCTATAGGTCGACATTGAATATGTCTATACTACCGAAGTTTACTCTCTTATTTTCTTGCTAAAAGGCGCCACACCTAATTTCTCCCTAACCCTATGATTTTTAATCTTATCTCTTCTACTTACTCTCTTGTTGTTCGTGGTTCTTTTTTAACATCCAACACTTAACTCTGTATAAATAGCCTGTCTAGTGACCGTCATATATACTTTCCCTTTTAACTTATTCAGTGTTCATTTATCGCATAAAATCTCACTACCATTCCTCCACTTTGTCCAACCATTCCAATTCTACTACTTTATGATCAATCTCCCTGGTTTTTGTATCGCTGATCCTATATATCGAAATAATGACATTGAGTGATGTGTTGATCTGGAATTTTTCTCGCTATACTATCCTTTACTATAGCATTACTAAATTTACATTCCATATATTGTGTTATAGTTCTACTAATTTTTAAGCCGTTTGACAGTCTTCAAATATATCAGAAAGAGACTCGTCCTGAAAATTTAGTTGCCCTAGCCAAGTGACTGTTCATTGCTTTCAAAGGATTCGTTTGGATGCAAAAGGCACATGATTTGAATCCAATCCTAGCAGCTTCAAATATGTCAGAAAGAGATTCGTCCTGAAATCAATTTTATGTAAAGGAATATATTTTGAACTGATTGGTGAGTTTGCATCGAACCTTCTTGTTGACAATCACTCATGCTGGTAAAACAATTCTGTGGTCGTAGCACTGAATAATCTGCGAGGGAATTTTGAACTGATTGGAGAGTTTGTATCAAACTTTCTTGTTGATGATCACTCGTGCTGGTAAAACAATTCTGTGGCTTTAACTCAGAATTTCTTCGCTTCGATTCTGCCCCTACTTCAATTAAAGCTAGCTCCTACTCTTCCTTCTCCTTCATCGTCGTTGGTCTGTCATTCGTAGTGGTCATCGTATAGTGAGAAAGCTCGCCCCTGCCTTTAGACGAGAAAGCCCTCTTTTGCAATCCTAGCAGCTTCAAACAGCAAAGAACAAATCATCCCTCCTCTCTCTCTCTCTCCTGTTCTTAATGTCATTTCTAAAATGATGCGTTGTTTCAAAATTTGCAGCAAAGAAATCCATTATTTATTCATTCTTTAAGAAGTATTTGCTTTGTCCATTGTAACTACCTGTTCTTGATCTGAGATGCATATCAATTAGCAATATAGATTTGTTCTTTCTAAACAGTTTTCATCTCAGGGTTCAGACCCTAGTTCTACCACAAATGTGAACATCTGTGGTACATCCCGCCACAAAAGGGAAGGTCCTAGTTGGGTTTGGGTGCACGTGTCTTACTTATCCACACACACAAAAAAAAAATAATAATAATAAAATAAAATAAAAGGAGAGAGAGAGTTTGTGTTCCCAAAAGGGAGTTCAACTATTTGGAATATTATGTTGGATTGCAAAAGCTTGGGTACTACATTGCATGTGCTTCATTTTTTGTACTGCAAAAAGCTCTTTAAAATGATGAGTTTGATTTTTAGAATATTGATTTTGAAGTCTGTTTCTTTAATCTTTTGTATGGCATCATTATTCAAAGGGTTGTCGTTTAGAATAATTTTTTTGAAGTTTATTTCATGAATCTTCTGTATTGCATCATTATTCGAAGTGTTGATGGATCAAATTATACTCATCATGACTCAAATCATATATAGGGACATCATCTTGATTTGCGGCTTGTTCGGAATCAGTGGCTTTTAATTGATCCCAAGGTGGAGTTTCTTATGTCAGAGGTGAATGAAGAAAAAACTTCTGGAGATTTTAGAGAAATGGGACTAAGGTTGGCTCAAGAAGTGATTTCTTTCATTAAGAAGAAAATGGATAAAGCCTCAAGATCTGGACGCTTAATAAATATCAAGCTCAGCTTTGTTGGGCATTCCATCGGAAACGTCATTATAAGAACTGCCTTAACGGGTATGTTTCATAGCTTTGGAGGCTTTATTTGTCTATTAGCATGTAATTTAGTTCTAAGTTTGTGTTATTCTCATTGCAGAGAGCATTATGGAACCATACCTAAGATACCTGTATACATATGTTTCTATATCTGGTCCACATTTAGGTTATCTGTACTGTTCAAACTCTCTATTCAATTCTGGGCTGTGGCTCTTGAAGAAGCTCAAGGGCACACAGTGCATTCATCAGCTCACTTTCACAGATGATCCGGATCTCCAAAACACTTTCTTTTTCAAACTTTGCAAGGTAATAACTAGATCCGATCTATTTCCATTTATTTATTTTTGTCGAGAACTGACGGGGGTATGGGTTAGCAAAACAAGATTGTTGAGTCATGAATTGTGGCCTCTTACAGTTGGAGTGCTTTTCACTCCACTTGGAATGATATATGTTTGGCAAACTAGTGGCACTATACATCTTGTATCAGAACGTGATTTGGTTCATTTCAAGTCGAAAGGAGACAGTTGTTGTGTTCTTTCTTCTCGGGTGAAAATTCTGAAACACTTTCTTTTGTTCTTTCAGCAAAAGTCACTGGAGAATTTCAGGAATATAATTCTGTTATCTTCACCCCAGGTATTACCTTCTCTTTTGCACCCATACTGTAAATTTGCTTATGGTAATTGTTTTAACTCATTGACAGAACAGATTATACTTGCATTTCTCCACCATCTTATTTTCACCACAAATGGTGGGAGGACTGTGAATAGGTTTGACTAGAATAGGGCAATCTCCTGTTTTGATAGTGAGATTTTTGTGTTTATTTACCAGAACACGACACTATAAGCTGGTCTTTGTTTTTATGCATTGAAAGGTTCTGTGACTTCTGTCTATACCTGCAATGAAATAATGATGCAAATGACCATATTGAAGATTGCTTTTCTTCTTTGGGAAGCTGAGACAGAGAGAGAGAGAGAGAGAGAGCCCCTTTTGGGCAACAAAGAAACTAATGTACATTTGCATAAATAAATGGATTTGAAGTCGAGGGATTTGAGATTAAATAATACAGCAATCATTACTCGATTAGAATCCTTCTGGCATGGATTTTAAATAACTCCTTGTACCCTCCCTCCATTTTTTTTTTTTTTTTGGGTGGAAATTAACTCCTTGTACCTTGCTATTTGAAATTTACATATAATATCCTTTGAAATCAATCCATGCATGTTGTTAAAACTTAGATCTAAATGATTAAATCTATATATAAATTATACTTCTTTTGAGCGTTATCTACCATGTTGAGGACATTATTGCAGATACATTACCATACAAAACAACAAATCAGATTAATAACCCCTGTTTGGATTTGTATCAAGAGTGCTGGGCAATTGCATTGTGGTTTTGTTGACTGGAACTCCAAAGGAGCTTAAGTTCAATGCAGTAACTGATATCTATATTTAAAATAGCATGCAATAACTGCTATATATATTCAAAATAGCATCAAGTTTTGGCTCAAAATACTAACTTTTTTATTGTTTGCGTTGAAATTCCTTTGGTTCAAGATATAAGTTGATTGAATAAGTGAGACTAAGAAGAATTACTTTTATGTTTTATTCTTGTAATTTTCATTTCCCCCCAACCCCCCTTTCCTGCGATTGCAATTCTTACAAATGATCGTCTCTCAGGATGGTTATGTTCCATATCATTCTGCAAGACTTGAAACTTGCGTGGCATCTTCAGCAGACTACTCAAAAAAGGGCAAAATCTTTCTTGAGATGCTGAATAATTGCATGGACCAAATAAGGGCCCCATCTTCTGAGCATAGAGTGTTCATGCGATGTGATGTTAACTTTGATACCTCATCCCAAGGCAGGAACTTGAATACCATCATTGGACGGGCTGCTCATATAGAATTCCTGGAGACCGACATCTTTGCAAGGTTCATAATGTGGTCATTCCCAGAACTGTTTCGTTAATTGTGGCGGATATATGTGGAATTAGTGATGGACCTGCATTTGTATTCTGATTGAAATCTTGGCACTCACAAACTGTCACTGGCGGCCATCCCACCTCCTATTTTTCAAAATGAGGACAAGGGATGATGACCTGGTTCAGGGGCTGCTGCTTGAAGTGACTGGCAATTTCGTCCTTGACATGTGGGTGGCCTGAGATCTATGAAGATACGTAGCTTTGTAAATTATTGGCACGAAGCTGATCAATAGAAGACAGTTAAAGTTTTTAGCATAAAATGAATTTTTAGATGTAATTATATCTGTAGGTGAAGTAGATTCATTGGTTGTGATTCTCATTTCCATAGATCTTTAGCAACGCAGAGAGATTACGCGTTTTGTACACTGGAGGGGATGGGCGGGGGATGATGACGACGATTGGAAGGGCTTGTAATGAATATCAAAGCATCACACGTGTTGAAGACGGATCTTTAATAAACTGTTGTGCAGTAATAAAATTTAGGTTCTCCAAGTTTTCACTACCTTGTTACTTTTATTATCTTATGTTTTTAGTTGGTGATTGTCAACCCTGTAAAGCTTAACTCACTTGCAGGTGGCGTCAATGGCTGCTCTTCATTTCCTTTTGCCCTAATTGGCTTTACTTCATTATTTTACAGACACACAGCTCTCCTCACCAATGGGAGTATCATAAGCACAGATCCAATAAGGTGAAACTCTTATCAAGTTCAAGCTTTTTTCTTCTGTTTCAGATCTTACCAAGTAATGGTAACACACAAGTAGTATCACTTATACTGCATCTGTATACCACTTTTAGTATTGACATGTATTTCGGGGTGGGCGCGGAGGAACTACAGCAACCAGTGAAATTAAAGAACTAAAAGCTGCGGAAGAACTAGAGCAACGCAAACCGTATGTTCGATTGGTTACGTGAATTTTATGTTTCCATTCCACATTCCGCTCTATATAATGCCTTCTTTTACGACAACTCGGTTCTTTCTTCTAATTCCAACTTGAGGTGCATCTTGGAAGTCCTGCGTTGGTGGTAGAACCATAAATCTCAGTAGAATTTGCTTTTGAGCTTCCTGCAATCCGTTGAACAAGTTGTTCTCATCAATTGCAGAAAAGAAGAGATTTGGCTGCCTTTGCTTAAATGGAAATGAAATGAAAAACAAATATATGACAAACTTTTTTTTTTTCTCCTAAATAATGTATGACAACTTTATTAGCCACAAGGGTGAGTAAAGAGAGATTTGCAAAAGCATAACATGCAAGACAAATACTAAGATGTAGCCTTTCTATAAATAATATAGCAAGAAAAGAATAAAATTTACCTAAAAAAGTGAATAAATTGAAACTGAGAAAGCTATAGGAGTTGAAGAAAAGTTCCATTGTGAAAATAAAATGAAAGAAAAATGATGAAGAAGAAGATCTGCCTCAAGATATTATACATGATCCTTTGACATTCACAAATTTTTGAGATTTCTCACAAGAGTAGCGAGGATAACTTCTTAAAATTACTATTCCAGCATGACCTCTTTAAAATTTTAGGTCGTTCTAAGAACAGATATGTTGTGTTTAAGAGTATCGAATCAGTTACATAGAATTAAAATTAAAGGAAACTTTTGAATTATGGTTAAAAGGGGAAGTAGAAATAAAATTTGTTGCACGATCTATTCAATTTGTGAATTCGAACCTCATTGGACCTTGAAGGGGCCACATGGAAATTCTTTTGCGAACTCACCTTATTAAGCATAGATAATTAATTTATAAATAAGATTGCCAATATATATATATATAAAATTTTGAGTTTTTTCCTATCTTTTTGAATGTCTCTTTGATTTCTACACCAATTAATCAGGTAGCTTATTAGTTCTAAATTATCAAGGAACAATTTACGAAATTAAAAAGCACACAATTATTAATACTAAAATGATTTGTGAATTCGAGCCAAAGACTAAAATGATTCATTGGAACTTGAGGGGTCACATGTAATTTCTTTTGCAAACTCACCTTAGTAAATTTTCCACCTTAATAAGCCTATATAGTTAATTTATAAATAAGATTTCCAACAAATAATAATAATAATAATAATAATTAGAAATTGTTCAAAATTGTTTACTATGACCTCATAACTCTTTGAATGTCTCAGACATGTAGAAAGTTCCCTCAACCTTATATCAACATTATACTCCTGCTCAAATGATGTTCCCAATGGTTCAATCAGGGTATATCACTATCACAGCTTAATAGGGCTTATGTCTGTATAAAGCCTAGGGTTTCAAAGGCCAAATACCAAATGACCAATTCTCTATGAAAATATCAACTTGTACAACCTTGAATCTACTACTAAAACTTGCTCAAATGATAAAGAGTTCAACTCACAGTAAGATAATATGCATATATACTCATTAACAGAAGGCTAAATGTGATAACCTGATTTCAGAACACGGGTTGATCAAGTCCGCGCACAAAATCAAGGGATATCAAAACAATTAAAGTATTTTAAACAAGTACAGAGTACAAAAAAAAATAAAAATAATAAATAACTCGCTGAAGGAAAATCTATTAAATAAAAATTTCCTTAATAATTCTCTAAAATTTAAAACTCGGGAATCCTGTAACTCAAGGATCCCTTAACCAAAATTCACTGTCCAGAAATTCATTATTGAATATTAATATCAAATAAATTAATAATATCATACTTTTAAATAAACCGAAAGAATGGATAAATCCTCTACCTGCGGATCCTCAACTATGAGACTTGAACTTCTAATAATCTGAAAAACAAATCGTGGGTCAAACACTACGAGCAAGCTATCTCTACCAAGCCTCTGAAAACCAATAAGTAGATAATCTCTGATCAAAACCAAACCTAATAAGGAATTTAACTTTAATATAGCATGATATACATATATATAAATAATTATATATATTACACTAATCATATCCATTTATAGATTTATTAAATTTTCAAACCTATTAAATAATGATTAAATAGTAATCATACCTAGATCAATCCATCATTTCTTTTAAAAAGAAAATCCTTTAACCTTAATCCCATCCTAGTTAGTTGTTTAATCATTTAAAAAATAAATTATAATAAAAGGAATATTATATTTAATCCTAAAACCCAATAATGATTTTAATTATTTAAATCACAAATCCAAAATCTAAGCTTTGACAAATCATTCATGTCTCCACCAATATTATTTTATTAATATAAAATAATGCACTAACCAGTAATTACTAGATTATTCTAATTTAAAAATATCTAATCCTAATCCAATATATACATACAATAACCATAGATAATATTTTAATCATAGAACACATAACAATTTAATTACACTTTGGCAAATCAACCATGCCGTTATAAATATTTTCATTTATATATTGGCAACTCAATCATGCCTCCTTAAATATATTAATTTATACATTGGCAATCAAACATGCCTCCTTAAGTATATATTTATTTCTATTTTTAATTAGCAACTCATCTATGCTTCCCACGTATATATTTTTATTCATACAAATAATGCAAGATATTTAAGTCTTTGGCAACTTATCCATGCCTATAATTCAACCATGTACTAAACCTTAAAAGTTAATTTATCAACCAAACAATTCTTACATAGGAAAATTAACTTACAAATAAAACAACTCATACCTAGGCATTCCATGCATATTTTATGCATATAATTAATTTAATAACCAGCCTATCCATATAAATCAAGTAAGAATAATAATTTAATCATCTTAAATGATATATACATATACCAATATATTATACAATATATATATGTATAATACCTTCCATAAATAATATATATATACTTCATTCCATACGAATCACAAGTTAAGTAAACTACATATACACATATATAATTAAATATATATATATATATATATATATATATATATATACACACACACACTTCCTTCCATACAAAACACATATTAATTAAACCATATATATATATATATACATATAAATTATTGTTTCTATATATATATAGATATATATCCACACCTCCTTCCATTACAAAAAGGTACTAATTAATTATGTATACGGATATTAAATGTTACTAGATACCGGAGTAGTACTTTATGGCTCTTAGAACACCAAGAACACCTCCTCTAATGGTTGCTTCCAACCCTAATGGCTTAAATATCAACTCTGGGAATTCACCAGACCCCACAGGAGCTTTCCGAGACCTCACATGCATTTCCATGCGCCCCCACGTGCCGCCACATGCTCCTACACTCTCTGCACGCGCTTCTACGCGCCATCATTCACTGGCAGGCGCGTCCACGGGCCTGTACGCTCTCCCACGCGCCTGATGTTATCTCGGAGTGAGGTGGCTGTTTCCTATTGGCCATCTCTCTTTGTTCTGGTGCGCTTGCCCGCACTAGATTATTTTATGCTTACTGGACCGCATCTATGGTCCAGATGTATGCGCACACCAACTTAACATGTGCCGCGTTTCACCGAATTATCCATCACTCATCGGCACACTCCAACGGCCCAGATCCGCATGTACATGGTAGTATCTTGTGCCGCAATGCACTAAATCCATCCATTAAGTTTAAATAAATCTAATGGCTTATATCAGCGTACATACCATTACACTATGTCATCACCGCACTGGATAAACTTCCCATTGAGGTGTCGATTATATAAAAACCTTATATATATATAAACAGTATATATAATTATCAAAAAAAAAAAAAAAAAATAAATCAAATAAATTCTTAAAAAATATAAAAAAATACTAGAAAATTCCAGAAAAATACAAAAAATTCCCAGGAATTCCAGAAAAATCCCAGAAACTCTAAAAACCTTAATTAACAGATCCAACCTATAACTTGATTTTTAAAATATATGTAACACATATATATATACAATTTAAAATCTAATAATTCAAAAAAAAAAAAAATATAATAATTTATTTTTTTAGTTATTCCGATCTAACCATGATTTTAAACAAATAAATTTAATCTAAATATTGATACTCAAGATGATAAACTTATGGGTCCTAAGAGGAGAGTTAGAAAAGAACTTGCCTGAAGGTTTCGAAACGAAACCGACGCTTCAAACTTTAATTGTCTCTTTCAATTCCAGCGTCTTCTTTCTCTAATCTGGCTTCCTCTTTGTCAGCCTTCTCCTCTTCTCTCTCTACTTCTCTTATTTTTCTAACGTGTAAATTTTTAACCCTAAAACCTTTTGTGTATATTTATACACACTAAAATCCAAATCCTATTCCAACTAGGACTATGAATTAAAATAATAATCTTTAAATAATATATATATTTATAAACATATATATATATATATATATATATATATATATATATCACCATCAATGTATATATATATATATATATCATTCCATAACACTTATTAATTAATTATATTTATATATAATTAAATATATATATTTATAATTATACAAAAATGATCATTTAAATAATCAAATAACCATGGACCTTTATTAATTAACCTAATAAGGCTTCATACAAGCCCAAAACCACATCTTTTAGTCCAACTTTCCTTAAGCTCAAATCCAATTAAGTTAACTAAATCAAATAATTAAATAAACACTTAAATTAAAATAAATAATTACATGAAGCACATAAACAAAACAAGAAATTACAATCAAGTCACACCATACTAATAAAATTAACGCATCAATAATTCAATCAATAATCAAACACACATACAACAATTATCATATCAATTACGAAGTATAATTTAATTAAAACAAGACAATTAATCTAAGTGCTCAATTAAATAAAACAAATCATATAAAAATTTTAAAAAATTAATTAAACGCAATTAAATCAAACAAATCATTTAAAAATGAAATAAAAATAATTAATCCCTATAAATAACTCCTTTTAAAATATATGGGAATTACATTAAACGAGAAAAACAAGTAATAGATAGAGGTTTGAGACATAAAACTCAACTACAACAAGAATATGAACAAGACCACAAGTTCTGCAGTTATAAAATAGCAAAATAAACTTGCCTCAACCTCTGGATACATTTGAACTTGACTCAAGCATTGATTGAACCTCTAGACCAAGCATCTGCAGCAGAAAACACTCAATACACAACCTTGTACTTCATCTTCAATTGTACTCTCACACTAAATGGATTACTGATATGAAATAGATTACAAATTAGTTTCAAAACTCAGTATAAGGTCATTGTTCTCGGTGTCTTGAGTGTATGTCAATATTGCTTGCAAGGATGCTCAAGTTATGCCTTAAGAGACTCGTTTTCTATAACAACATATATATAGGATACAATGGAATGTAGTCCTAACCTAAAGAGGAAATCCACATGGCATTATCTACCCATCATTGGCCAGAGAATGTTATGACATTCACTCGGGCCACATTGCCCTTGCTACAACTCACTATTTTGTCCTCTAGTGAGCATATAAATTGATAACTTGTATATATGTATACACCAGCAATATATATCAAGCTTAGCCAATAAGCAATCCACAAAAGCTTCATTTTCTAACACTAAGACCACATGACACGTGTTACAAGGATGCTCATCAATTGCATTGACCAAAATACCCTTGTAAGGGACACTTGTCAATAAACACAGTTTTTTGCAGCTACAACTATGGATACTTGATGAAACCGTGAATAAGAGCATTTTAATACAATGTACTATCACAAACAAGTCTATTATGATGGAATACAAATGTGAAAAGACTTAATTGCCCCTGAAGAACTCTGTAGCCAAATATCAACCTTTGAACCAGTCCTGTAAACCCTAATTTGACTGTAACAAGTACTGTTAACACAATGTAGTTTCCTCAAGCTATCTCAAGTGATATCACATGAATGTAAAATGACAATGCTACCCCTATAAGCTTCCATAATGCACCAACCACCTAAGAATCAATTTAAGCTAACTGAAATGGACATGTGACAACTTTTTGACATTTAAAAAGGCAAATCCTAATTCAAAGATGGGACCAATACATATATGCTGTGTTTAAGAGTACTGAATTAGTGACATAAAATTGAAATTAGAAGAAATTTTTGAATTCTGGTTAAAAGGAAAGCAAAAATAAAAGAGAAGTACTAATTGCAGTCGTGCTAGCGATTGCCCTTCACAGTCGCGCTTCTTATTGGTCACAATTTCTATAATTACACGTTCATTTATGAGATGTCTCTTGCCTTTATAGAAATTAAAAATATAAAATTTTAAGGCAAAATTACCCTTTAATCTTTTCTTATCTCATCTCCTCAGTTTCATCCCTTATCCAATATATATATATATATATCTATATATATATATATATATATATATATATACACACGGGAATATATATATATTTTTTCTTTTTGGATGGCCAAAACAAATAATATTATGGGAATGAAATATTTTATTTCCTTTTTTTAATTATATTTTAACTATATATATATATGTGCTATATATGGATTCATGTTCAATTCCTATAATCACAATTCATATTATTTTCTTTCCTTTTAGATTTGCTAAAACGAGTACCATTATGAGAATTGATTATTTTATTTCCTTTTTTAAAATTATATTTTAACTATGTATATACGTGCTATATATTTATGCATATATGAAGGTAGTTATTTACATATATATATACACACACATATTACATATTATATATATACACGTACATCAATTAAGTGAGAAGAGAAAAAAAAATATATAAATTGTGATTATAGGAATTGAATGTGAATCCATATATATAGTTAAAATATAATTAAAAAAAAGAAATAAAATAATCTATTCCCATAATGTTATTTGTTTTGGCAATCCAAAAAGAAAGAAAATCATATATTCCGGTATGTTTTTTTTTTTTTTTTTGCAATCTAGAATGTTAGGGATAAAAATGAAGAGAGGAAAATAAAATGAGAGAGATAAGAAAAGGTTAAAGGGTAATTTTGTCTTAAAATTTTATATTTTTAATTTCCTTAAAAACAGAGACATCTCATGAATGAACATGTAATTACAAAAATTGTGACCTAATAAGAAGCACGAACTAAAATGATTCTTTTGCAAACTCACCTTAATGAGAAGATATTGGGTACCCTAAAGCACCGTGCAGCAGACTCATCGGAGTAAATATTCCACCTTAATAAGTTAGATAGTTAATTTATAAATATCTTTGAACGTCTCTTTGATTTCTGCGTAAATTGATGTGGCACACCATTATTAATACTAAATTTATAACACTTCCCTTTATCTTCTATCTAGATTTTTTTCCCATAAAGCAGTTGAAATTCACATGCATTCACTCAATGCTACAAACATAACCATATAAACACTACCGCCCTAACGGTGTCTTATCTTTTCCACCTTCACAAGAAACCCCATTTACCTCCCTGCTTTTTCATCCATCTCCTTCAACAAACTAATTGAATATGACAGCCACATCTCTTTTCAACAAAAATAACATTTCTCACAAACCCATTTCTCAGAACCAATTTTAGATCAAAAAATGGCTCATGAAGGTGATCAAGAACCAAGAAATCTCCATTACCCACTCGAAGCAAACTGCTACAGAGTTCTGGACGAGATTGGGCAAGGCGTGAGTGCCATTGTGTACAAGGCCATCTGTGTCCCGTTGAACTCGACTGTGGTGGCCATTAAAGCCATAGACCTCGATCGATCTCGAGCCGATCTCGATGATGTTCTGCGTGAAACCAAGACCATGTCACTCCTCTCCCACTCCAACATCCTCAATGCTCATTGTTCTTTCACTGTGAACCAAACACTCTGGGTGGTCATGCCTTTCATGTCCGCAGGCTCTTTACAGTCCATCGTATCATCTTCTTTCCCGGATGGCTTGTCTGAATCATGTATTGCAATAGTTCTCAAAGACACGTTGAATGCTCTGTGTTATCTTCATGATCAAGGCCACCTTCATAGAGATGTGAAGGCGGGTAATATTTTGATGGACTCGAACGGTGCAGTGAAGCTAGCAGACTTTGGTGTCTCTGCTTCGATTTACGAGCCGAGTTCGGGTCGAGGGTCGTCGGGATCATCGTCCGGGAGGCTCACCGACGTCGCCGGGACGCCGTATTGGATGGCTCCGGAGGTGATACACTCGCATACAGGGTACAGTTTCAAGGCTGATATATGGTCTTTCGGTATCACTGCGTTGGAATTAGCTCATGGAAGGCCACCTCTGTCTCACCTCCCTCCTTCGAAGTCCCTCTTCATGAAGATCACAAAGCGGTTTCGATTCTCGGATTATGAGAAGATCTACCAGAGCCTGAAGAACAAGAAATTCTCGAAATCTTTTAAGGACATGGTTGCTTTGTGCCTTGATCAAGACCCGTCCAAGAGGCCTTCTGCTGAGAAGCTATTGAAGCACCCATTTTTCAAGAATTGCAGGGGCTCGGATTTTCTTGTGAAGAACATCTTGCAAGGGTTGCCTAGTGTGGAACAGAGGTTCAAGCTATCGAAGCTTCAACGCCTGGTTTCGATGAGCAAATCCGAGGAAGAAGATGAAGGGAGTGAAGGGTCTTCACTGGGTGATAATAATGACAAACAGAGGAGGATTAGTGGGTGGAACTTCAATGCAGATGGTTTTGAACTAGACCCAGTGTTCCCAACTGATAAAGCAGATGATGATATTGTGAAACTAGTTCGATTTGGTGGCGAAACATTCATTGGTGGAGATGAAGGAAGAGAAACCAAAGTTTGTGATCAAGCTAGTGAGGGATCAAAAGAGATTGGCAGTGGTGGTGGTGGTGGTGGTGAGGCTGAGATTGGTGGTTCGGCGCGGGTTGATAGGGAGGTGATGATGGGGAGTCTTCTATTTCTGAAGAACAGTTTGGATGATCAGAGAAAGCAGGTGATGAACATGATTGGTCTGTTTCGCGGGGAGGAGAGTGTGGAGGTGAGCAGAGAAGAGGAGATGATGCAAATGATGGAGAGATTGAGGATGGAATTGGAGAATGAGAGGAAGAAGAACTTTGAATTGAAGATGGAGTTGGAATTTTTGAAATTGCAGCTCTGAAAAATAAGGTCATTTGATTTCAGCCGTCTCAGTAATCTATTGCTTCTTTCTTTGTTCATTTTATTTGTGTTTGCTTTTAACAAGACCATTAATAAATAATGTCTTTTCACCACAAGAAATAAGAATTGAATCACTAACAAAGAATGGATGAAATTGATGCGTTTGTGATGTTCTGTTTTCCCATAACTATTTCTTTCGTGAAATCCAATTTGTGGACTTTTGTCATTTGGCTTCATCAGGTTTGATATATACATTTTTTAATTTTTTTATTATTATTTTTTTTTATGGCAAAAAATTTAGATAGTGGCTTGGAAGGCGGGCTCTTTGGGACAACTGGGAGCAACCAACCACTGGGTTACTAAGGTATTCACAAATTAGATACATGCTTTAAAATGGTAATTTTTGACAATAGCCATTCACTAATTTTGACATTGTTTACCCAGAACAAGAGTTAATATCATTAGAAGGTTGAGTTTTATCATTGTATCAAGTAATAAACCTGATTGTAATATTCATTTGAATTCATATTTTTTTTTTTTTTTTTTTTTTTGTTTAAAAGTGAATGTGAACTATGTTTGTGTACATGCATATATACACAAACACATTTAAAGTACGATTAGTTTTTTGTTCTATGAAAAAAGTGTGTCTTTCTAAGTGACTTTAATGATGTGACAATGGATGTTATGTTCCGTCCGCATGCACTAAATTTTCATTTTCATTTGAAAAATTGCAGTTTGGATGTGCAATCTACTTGGCTGGCAGTTATTTGTGGGTTCAGCACCAAGAGGCAAGTGACTTTAATGATGTGTGACAATGGATGCTATAGGCTGTTCTTTTCCTGTAAATCTGTAGTAGTTTCATAATTTCATTGAAAAAATAGCATATATATATATATATATTTGTGTATATATATGTATATTTTCCTATTGAGATCTCATCAATTTGGAATGTAATCTCTTAGTACTTTTGGGTGTTGAAGTTAAATCATGATCACAGATTAGATGAAATTCATGATGAAATGCTTGCCATTCTGATCAGGATTTTGTACGAGTCCATTTGGTTTACTGGCAGATTTGCTTGGACGTACTGAGCTAGTATTTTATGCAACTATATAAGAAAAGGAATGCAAGTAAATGTGTTGGATTATGTGACATATATGCATTAGGATTATAATATTGAAAAAGGTCATTAAAACTTAATTGTAAAGACCCAAAATCCGAGGATCCGAGTTGCCATCCGGGTCCTTACCCAAATCCATTAATCCGCTATTATGGTCATTTTACATCGTAAAGTCCGCAAATATGGTTGGTTCTATCTTATTCATCATTAAAGAAGTCAAATATGTTCATTACGTTGAAGTCTCAGGCCAACGGAACAAGTCTCCCAAAAAGTCCCTAGCCGAGTGCTCAGTTGCTTCCCTCTAAGTGCTCGGAGGGTGTCCTGGGCACCCTTGCGCGTGTGTAGGGCCAATGCCACGCGTGGGGGTGGGCACGGCCTGAGCGCTTGGCTAAGGAAATTCCCCTCTGAATTTCTCGGCCAATGGTCGAGCGCTCATAGCAGAGACAGCGAGCCCTCGAAGGAAACTAGAAAATGGGCTTTTTGCCCTTTTTCGTTCCCGTCCCGCACCCATTCCCGAGCATATATGTGGTCATTTTAACCTTGGTGCCCCAGTCCCAACTCACAAAACATGCATAAATAAGTGGCCAATGCCGTCTCATCACATTTAATTACATCATTAAGGTTCATAATACTCCAAAACTTGTAATGTTGGTAAAATATGAACATGGTTAACAATGTCGTCACTTACATGCCCAAATTGTATCAAAAGTAGTCCAAAAGAATATAGTCACAAGTTTGAGACTATTAAGGTCTTAAATACAATACTTTACATGGTATCAACGAATAAGGTTACCTTTACAAAATAATCGTCATCAACTACGCATTGGTTACAAAAATTGCAAAAGGGCGAGTTCTTCATTTTCATCTACGCTTGTGGTGGTATATCATCCATTACGTCCTTGCTATGTCTTGAAAATATTAGAGGAAGGGCCAGTACCAAGGCTCAGTATAAAATGCCTAAGGCACCAACTTTAGACTTTCTTTGGTTAAGTAACACATAAAAAGGTTTAAAGAAAATCGGGATCATACATTAGGGATTCCATGGAATTCCAAGTCATAGTTCAATTTCAACATTTGTCACATATACAATTTATCTCAAGTATGCATGAAATTGCAATGCAATGCATAACCGTCCTAGCTTTGGTCCCAAACCAACCCAACTTACACTGAAAGCCATTAACCAACTTTACCGAGGCAAGATTGATTAACTATGCTTGGCCTCAAATCCGATGACCATTTGGGGTCTAGTAATCAGTGTTACATGTCCAATAACCATCACATGCTCTCTCTAGGTCAAGTTAGCACCGAACTCGCAAAATTCGATTCTTTTATAGAATCTATTTCACAACCCTTTCTATTTTGATTCATTTGACATTTCTGTTCAACCTTCCCACTATGTCATATCATGTATATAAATCAATGCATCAACTTAACTTCAATTTAATTAGTATAACAATAATGACATAGGCATAATATTTACTAGAAATCAAACATAAGCATGCTCATAATTGAAATTCCTTCGTCACAATCATGCTAGCATTTGTAAACTAAGTACTCTTACATTTTGACAATGGCATGTACTTCATAAACATAGAAATGCACAATTTTCATCTCACACAAGCATGCTTTCATCACATCATCATATTATTATCATTTCATTCATAAGTTTGCATTCAATTATGAAATTTAAGAGGAATCAAAGGAAAACTACTGAAGCTTAATGCATTAAACATCCCTACCTCAAGAGGTGCAAGCCAAACAAGCCCTTAGCTACCCCAAATTCGAAATTCCTCCAAATGCTAGCAAGTGTGGTTCCAAATGGAAGCCCTAAATGTGTAGAGCAAACCTCTCTTCTTTGATCCTAGCCAAATCTTACTTTAAACCTCTCAAATGTGGGCTTAAAATCTGTAGTATATAAGTGTGTATATAGATATAGATAGAGAAAAAGAAGAAGACTAGAGAGAGAATGATGATGGCCTAAATGAGGAGAAAGATAGAGCTTTCTACCGATGAATTCTGACGCAGTTCTTTATCAAGAGGTGAAGGAAATGTTCCTTCACACCGTAAAACCAACAATGAGATCCTTCTATATCAGACAGATCCAGGTGAGTGGGAACTAGAGTGGATAGCGGAAACGAATTGGAGTGACTGCAGTATGGGAATTTAGGCTCTCTCTTTGATTTGTTGTCCCAAAGTATAGATAGATGAAACCAATTTGGTTGGTGGTTGCAGGCGTACGGCTATTCTATTAAAGAAATAATCCCTTTCACATCTGATTTACGCTAAAACGCGAACCAAGATCCATGATACGAAAACTAAATTCAGAATGAGGAAAAAAAAGATATCGTGATGTAGGTCTATTAGTCCTTGCATCATAGGTGTTGTTGCATCTTGAGATCCTAATTGCCTTGGTTCCGCTGCATCGCAAGAAGAAATTGTGAGGAATAGCCATTCTAGAACAATCATTTGCTTTGGTTCATTCTTTGACTGCTCTGCTCCCCCCCCCCCCAAAAAAGAGAGACTTTGTTCTTGCTCTCCTAATTCAGGAAGATGGAAATCGCCGGTTGGGTTGGTCCGACCAAGAAAGGCATGGGAGTCAAGGGGGTGGTTGCTATATCTTCTAAATGGTCAATAGGTCCTTCTTGTGTCATGTGTCAACATGTGGTCCAAACTAACTTTTTGCTAAAGTTTTTCATTTATCTCTCTCATGTAGGGAGTGCAAGTTGGGTGGGCTAGCCCGCCCAACCCAAACCAACTCAAAATATTTTGGGTTAGGTTTCTAATTTTAAAACTTTGGGTTAGATTCAGTTGAGCAATGTTCAGTCCGGCCCAAGTCGGGTTGGCATCAGGTTAGAATAGTTCTAACCCAAGCCCAAGCTGTCCAACCTGAATTGGGTATTTAATTTTTTTTTTTTTTTTTAACACTTGATCCAGAGACAAAAAAAAAAAAAAAAAAAAAAAAAAAAAAAAAAAAAAAAAAATAGTCGTTCAGAAAAGCAGCTTTCACCCCGTAGATGATCGGAGAATATGTGGATGAGATTTTCGATGACGGCGCGGATTTTTAGCCTGGACCCTTTCTCTTCCAGCCAAACATTTGCGTCTTTCACAGCCTGAACCCTTTCTCTCTCTAACCTGACCACGTTTGATCTGTCTCCCTCTGTCAATTGTTCTCTCTCTTCCTCAGCCTCAATGATTTCTCTCACCCATCCCAAATATAGATGAAAATCTCTCTACTATTAAGGGATAATTACATAGTATATGGTTTTTCTATTATAATTTCGACACATTATTGATTAGATTTTGCATGAGTGCTTGTATTAAAAAAATTAATAATTTGTTGTTGTTGTTGTTTTTTTTTTTTTTTTTTTTTTTTTTTTCACTGCATCTAATTAGGTTGGAGAGAAAAACTCATGCTTTTATTTATTATTTTGCATGCTTTCAGTCGTAGTGATGCCAAAGATTGTTAATTTATTCAGTAGTAGTGTTTCAAATTTTTTTTTTTTTTTTTTGGTACTTTTGTCTTCCTTGTTGTGTTTTTATAAAATTTCAAATTTAAGTAATACATACAAAACAGTATACTTCACAAGAGTATATGAGAATACATGATATTGACATCTACTCTTGTAAGGTTTCCTTTGGGAGAAAAGGAGCTTGTGGTAAGGACATCTATGAATACGAGGAGGAGCTGAAGGGAATGGGAGTTGTTGATTTCAAAGATGGTTCCAAGTCTGTGATTTCTGGGAGGTAGCGTATATGAATATTTATTTTATTAAATTTTCATAAAATTTTTGTTATGATTTTTTTATTGATATTTTTCGTCTCACCATCCTCTAATTTGAAATATTGAAAATCAACGGGGATTGTTAGTTTGGGGTTAAGTTAGATTGATTAAATGGTATATGAATGTTTTTGCCTTTTCAAAGAAAAAAAAAATTAAAATAGAAAAAAAAAAGGTCAGTGCATGCCTTTGCAATGATAGGAAATAGCCCGATTGGCGCCTTTGCAATGATAGGACATAGTACAACTGGTACACGCCAAAGTTTGCTATTCGGGTTGGGTTTCACGGGTCAAGAACAAATTTGGGCTATCACAGGCTAAGCCCAATCCAACTCGAAGCCGGGTTGAGGTCGAATTCGGGTTGGGCTGGGTTTGCAAGCCCAAGTTGTACCTCTGCCCTCATGTCATGCAACTCCCTATTTTCCCCTTAAAATATCTTCCACATAACATACACACACATATATAACACGCCGAATACCACAATTAATGGACATGAAAAACACAGAGAAAAACCTTGCGCGCAATAGTCGGTTCCGAGTTTGGAAATTTCTAAAATCAAACTCGTAAAATCTAAGATGCATAAAATAATTAAAATGTATTCCTAAAACTCCCAAACTCTTGAAAATGTCCCGAATGACCCTTGGGACACAAGAAATAATTTATAAAAAAAAATTACTGAATTGAAAAAAATCCTGGACATTACATTAATATTTGATATTATTTGAAAGAAGTGATAGTTTCACGTGAACAGGGATTCTCTAGGTGGAAAGTATATTTTAGTCTCAAGTCCATTTGGGATTACTTAGAGTATCTTCAGCTGTTAAAATATTTTTTTGTATAAAATATACACTACCATGTATGATATGTAATTTTTTTATTTATCTCCCGTAGTCTATTAATATACACTAGCGTGTTTCCAATGTGTAAAATTATTGTATACTTTACACGACCTTTTTATTAAAATATTTTTTTTTGAGTAAAATATACACTATCATATATGATATGTAATTTTTTATTTATCTCCAGTAGTCTATTAATATACACTAGCGTGTTACCAATGTGTAAAATTATTGTATATTTTACACGACCTTTTTATACAGCCATATTATCATATTTTCTTTCTCATCCCTCTTTCTCATTTCATTAACGAATCAACCCTATATTAAGTAGGTTTGTAAAAATTATCTGAGATCCATACATGACATTGGGTGGTTGTTATTGGAGGATATATTTTTACACAAAGATATAAAACATTGGAGATAAAAATAAATAATCTAAAATTTTTGTGTAAATCTATTATGATACATCAGATTTAAACAAATATATATATACACACACACACACAACGGTTGAAGATCATTTTTTTTTTTTTTTTTTTTTTTTTGTGTAAATCTATATGTTATAATAGATTTATACAAAAAAAAAAAAAAAAAAAAAAAACAATTGATCCCCAACTGTTTGTGTGTGTGTGTGTGTATATATATATATATTTGTGTAAGTCTGATGTGGT